AGAGAGAGAGAGAATGTAAGCATATTGTAAATGTTATATCAGAATATGTATAGTTCCCCTCTTCTTGCCAAAAGTCCACTTAGGCCTGTTAAATTGCTTTAGAATATCAGTTGACAAGCCAACCTGATTTCTCTAATATTATTGCAATATTAATCTGGTGTGATTCACTTACGATTGTTGTCTTCTTTCTTCTGAAGATCCTATGTTCCTTTTGTCAAAGTGCGCTCAGGCTGATTCAATTATTTTAGAATTTCACTTTGACGGAATAAACTAATTTTTCTTATTTCCTTTTCCACTGTTAGTTTCACTCTAATATATACATTAGATGTTAGGCCTATCACTTTTCCCAATTATATAACAGAAATGAAGAAAGTATTTTAATAGGAAGTTTAGAAGAGTTGGGGAACAATCCATAGAACTGGGAATTGCTTATAGTTTTCTTTTTTTCTTTTTTTCGATGTTGTTTCTATTCTTGAAAATATCGTAATGTTAAATTATACTTATAGGAAAATACTATAGAAATTTCTTGTATGAAGTTAAACTTAGTTATGTATAGTACTTACTGTAGGTGTAAACAAAATATTCCAGACTCAAATCCTGAATTGTTGGATATTATTTATTGAAAGAAAACTATATTTGTTAGATAAAAATTGATCTTGACCAATAATGTTCTTAGCAAAAATATTGTTACCTTACCTGCCAAAATTGATGGTGTTACTATTGTGAAAGGTCAGGTCCTAGCTCAGGTTTTTTTTTCAAAGAAGTCTTACAGAAATATTTTGAAAATTTCATAACATAAAAATAATGATAAAGTAAATCAAATTATATTAATTTATTTAAACTTAAACTTAGATTCTGTTTGGTAAGTTTATACTAAATTTCATGCACTTTAGTTAATTGTTTCTACAACAAGAAGGGAAAAAGTAAGAGATGTCAGTGATACCCCCCTGGTCTAGAAAGGTTTAATAAACTTCATTTATATATATATATATATATATACAACATTTTTATTATTATTTCAGTCTCTTGTTTGTTTGTCTTTTGTTAGGTGACAACTTCGGGTGCCCCTTTCTGGTCTGGGCCCAAACGTTGTCCTCATCCTTTGACATTTTCTGTAAAAACCGTGAGTGTTTTTTTTTGTTGTTTTTTAAATTGCCATTGCCATTGTGTTGTATGTGTAAGTTATTTGACTATCATAACTTTCTGTTATAATCTAACTTATTTTGATAAATACAAACTCATAAAAACTCTGTTGCTTTAATAATTCGTTTTTGTTGGGTTAATTCATCATTATGAAAAATAAAGTTTGACATTAAACTTCTAGTCTTTAGTTTATATAAACTAAAAACAAATTCCATTAAGTTAATGGTAATTCATATTCAAAAACTGCTTATTCTACTCATTTTATATGTAGTTTCACCCTAATAGAACTTAAATTTAAACATGAGGTAGTGGACGTTAAATTATGTGGCATAGTTTATAACCACATTTGTTTTAGAATCTGACTGTAAAAACTTTTTACAAATTTGGACATGTTAAAATTTTACATGATTGATTTTTAGTGCTCAAATTCGATAAGACCTGCAGATTGTCCACTTATGCACTAGTTATTTTTATATATGCATGTAATTATACTTTATTAAAACGAAATTTTAAAATGAATGATGTAAAACATCAAAACAAATTGTTGAAATGATGAAATATGGCTGAAAACGAAAACATTTAAATTTTTTAATTAGGATGTAGTGCTATATTTATTGATGATTTTCTACCACAGGACCTTCATGTAGACTATGTATTAGCATCAAGCAACATACGAGCATACATGTACGGACTTGCACCATGTCTAGACAGAGAGGCCATAATCAGTATGATTGAACAAGTAGAAGTCCCTGAATTTATTCCAAGGTCAGGAGTCAAAATTGCTATCACTGACACTGAGGCTCAGTCCAACAGTGGCATAGGTAAGACATAAAGTAGAAAGTATATGAATTACTGGCCACAATACTGTGGTGGGTAGGTTTTGGAATATATGTGAAGACAGGTTGTCCTATGTGTGTTTTTGATGTACGTACTTGTGCTTGTTAAGTAGTAGTAGTAGCTTAGGTGAGGACTGTAACTTGTGGCAAAAAAAGAACTGCTTAGTTTGATGCTGTGTTATAGATAACTTCAGTTAGGAACTGTGGATTATTAATAGTTGTGCACTATCATGGTGGGAAAAGGGATGTTGATGACATACCCTGGAGGAGGTAACAGTTTGACTTACAGTTGTGCACTATCATGGTGGGAAAAGGGATGTTGATGACATACCCTGGAGGAGGTAACAGTTTGACTTACTTCAGTAATTACCTTAACGACTTATGATTAATAATTATAAATTATGGTAGCCTACATTGCTCCTACTTGTATGAAACTCTAGAGGCTCTTGACTTGACCATAATCTCTAGATTTAAACAATAAAGTCAAATGAAACTCTTAACAAGGTATTGGAAGTGTTCATCTCCTTATATTAAGAGCCCTCCAGTGGTATGGCTGTAGACTTACAAAAGTAGAAACTGGGTTTTGATACCCATGGTGGGCAAGAGTACAAATAGCTTAAACATAAATGGAGAGATTTCTACTCCCAACTTGAGCCAAAATCAAATAAAAACCAAGTTATAGAAGACCCTGAAAAGCTTAGATAAACAAAATAGTCTACAGTGGTTCACTACTTTTAGAAACTGCAACAACAGCCTAATCACTTAATATCCTTTTTGCAAGTTACTTTTTTTTCATTTCTCCATATGGGTAGTCTGAATGTTACATCTGTTTCTAGTTGACATTCATTTATTAAAACTGTTTTCTCTGAGTTGTCATATGATATCCTGGTGTATTCAATGTTTTTCAGTCATTCTTATTCTTTTGAAATAGACATAGTAAAGCTTAAAATTCACCTGTTTTAGTTTGTTCCACAATAGTTCTATATACTGGCTGTCAGCTGATATCCTTAAAACTAAGAATATAACTACAAACAGTTTTCAGTGATCAAGGTTCTAAACATATTATGAAAATGTTTTTAATCACCACATTTGTTTTTAGCTGATATGGACAGAATCTCGGAGATTCAGTCACTGCTACCAGCAACTGACCAGATGGAACCCATTTCTATCAAACCAGTTGAATTTGAAAAAGATGACGACACCAACTTTCACATGGACTTCATTGTGGCAGCATCTAACCTTCGAGCAGAAAATTATGACATTCCTCCTGCCGATCGCCATAAGAGCAAACTGATAGCTGGAAAAATCATCCCAGCCATAGCAACAACCACATCATTGGTTACAGGTCTTGTATGCTTAGAGTTATGTAAGGTAAGGTAACCAAGACTATGAGGAGTTTTACTAAGAATGTGTTAGTGTAGTATGTCAATATGATGTGCGTGTATGTTAGGGTGGTGTGTCAATACGATGTGCGTGTATGTTAGAGTGGTGTGTCAATACGATGTGCGTGTATGTTAGGGTGGTGTGTCAATACGATGTGCGTGTATGTTAGGGTGGTGTGTCAATACGATGTGCGTGTATGTTAGGGTGGTGTGTCAATACGATGTGCGTGTATGTTAGGGTGGTGTGTCAATACGATGTGCGTGTATGTTAGGGTGGTGTGTCAATACGATGTGCGTGTATGTTAGGGTGGTATGTCAATACGATGTGCGTGTATGTTAGGGTGGTGTGTCAATACGATGTGCGTATCAGAATTTTTAATTGTGGAGAATATATTCTTCAAAAACTTACTTTTTGTCATGAAATGTTTTGTTATTGTGAAGTCAATAAAGTACTGTAATGTTTCTGTTCCTTTTTTTTTTTTTATCTTCTGATTAAAACATAGCACTGTTGACAGAATTTAACACTTTTACATTAAAAAAATGCTCACAGTGCTGTACCAGTCCCGGAAAAACAAAATTAAAGTTTTGGCACTGGAAATCCTGAAAAATTTCAATTTCAGTAAAAACTCCCCATTTAAATAATCAACTCAATCAAAAAAAAAAGTTTGTTTATCAGAAATAAGGTTTTTTTTTATATCGTATGTCAGCCTTTATGCATCACAAAACTTTAGACCATTGCAATTTCTGCTACCAGGTATGTTTGATCACCAAAAATACAAGTTTGATCCTGGAAAATAGAGTACGAGTTGTGGAATTTTCTTTTGTAAAGTCTGCATTGAAACGTATTGTTCTTCCAGATTGTCCAGGGACACAAGAAACTTGACTTCTACAAAAATGGCTTTGTAAATTTAGCTCTTCCATTCTTTGGTTTCTCTGAGCCTATTTCTGCTCCCAAAAACAAGGTAAGATATTTTGTTTGATACTTCTTTCAGTTGTTTTATAATTTAGACTTGATGATCTGATAAAGTACTCTCTTTTCTTTCTTTTTGTAAAAAAGTTGATAAGAAATAAATAAAAGAAAACGCACGAGAAATACTAGAAAAAATTAATTTAATTTACTTAATTAGAAAAAAAAGCCTTACTGTTTGTACTTCTTAACAGAATCCAAGTGTTTGAGATAACTTTGTGTCGTGGTTAATCTAATTTCCTAATTGCTTTAAATGTAGTAACATACTAGGTGTATGTTTGTTTAATTAGTTCTTAATGTTTGATCTTGGATTTTACAGATGTTTAAGGTTAGTTTTGGTTTTAGTATTTTTATGAAACCTAATCCATTGATCAATTGAAAATTAGTGTAAGAATTGTTTACCATTAGCATGCAATATAATGATTTGAGTTAGCAACAAGCTTTTATTTGTTTAGCAGTACTTGAAGGACCTCTAGCATTTCAGTGCTGCTATAAGTCGAGTTTTGTAGGTATGCACGAGTTTAGATAGTGACGAATGTTTGATTTGGAATTTTGCATGTATTAAGTATGTTGGAACTGACCATACAGTATTGAAATACATTTAATTATAAGGTTAACTCATAATAAGATAAATTATTCACGAATTGAACAAGTCCAGGTACATAAATTAAGGAACAACCTTGTTACTCCAGAAAGTATATATTTACTGATAGTTCATTTTTACAGCTTCTTCAGATCAGCAGCAAGTTGAACAGAGGCATTTTTATAGGATTGTTACTCTGAAGAAACACAATGGTGTTTATAAAATACAGTAGTATTGAACCAGTACTGGGTTTCTACTGTACAAGAATGTGTAGTAGAGTGTTCTATAAGTCAGATCAGCTCACTTATTTTACTGACCTCATTACTGGGTTTCTACAGTACAAGAATACGTACCTGAGTGTTCTTTAAGAGTCAGAGCAGCTGATTTATTTTACTGTGTTTCTACAGTAGAAGAATATGTACCTGAGTGTTCTTTAAGAGTCAGATCAGCTGATTTAGTTTACTGGGTTTCTACAGTACAAGAATACGTACCTGAGTGTTCTTTAAGAGTCAGATCAGCTGATTTAGTTTACTGGGTTTCTACAGTACAATAATATGTACCTGAGTGTTCTTTAAGAGTCAGATCAGCTGATTTATTTTACTGGGTTTCTACAGTACAAGAATATGTACCTGAGTGTTCTTTAAGAATCAGATCAACTGATTAATATAAGTGATTTATCTTATTGTGACCTCAGTATTAAACTACTACATTACAATAATATGTAGTTAACTAGATCAGCTGCTTTATGGTATGGTCCTAAAATAATTACGAAGGATTTGTTATTGGTTTTGTTTCATTGTTGTTACAGTTCATTAATACTAGATGTTCACAGTTATTGTCACTTATAAGGAAAATAACATGCTTTAGTGAAAATGTAGTTTTTGTAAGTACGTCTTAAACAGGTTATATAAAATGCAACAATACTCACTGCATATATGTGATCGAGTTCTCACCCATCAGTATGAAATGTTTGATACATAAGATAGTGTTTATGTATCTGTTGAATAATATCAAATTTTCAGAACTAAATATTTTTTGCACTTTGTTAAAGAGTTAAGAAATAACTGTTTTCTTGTAACCTTTTCTCCCATAAGTACTATGAAACAGAATTTACCTTGTGGGATCGATTTGAAATCGAAGGAGAGATGACTCTTAGGGAATTCCTTAATTATTTTCAGGTAAAAAAAAACTGTTAGTATTTAAGTCGGTTATATGTGTATTAAATAGACTGTTGTAAATGTGCAAAGTTAATAGTACAAAATGTGACAGATCATCATCTGTAGAATATATTTACCCTAACGTTTTAAAACAGCTGTAAATGTGTGGAATGTTTTCAGAAGTTACATTTTTCAACTTTTTCAAACAAAATCGTTCTTTTTATAAAACTAACAGTTTTGAAAAATTCAAATGTGTATTTTATAACAATTAAATGATTAATCTGGATTAAACAGTAACCCTTTGACTTCTATAAATGATATTATTGAAACACACAATAAGTTCATGGTAACGTTAGCAGAGTTTTATTTAAACTTGATTTTCAGGAGAAGTACAACCTGGAGATAACTATGCTTTCCCAGGGTGTGTGTATGCTTTACTCTTTCTTCATGTCAAATGCTAAAAAAGAAGAACGTATGGATTTAAAGTAAGCTTTTTTCATTCTTTAGTACATGTTATTAAACAACATTACAAAGTGAGATAAGAACCTTATAAGTTATCATAGAATTCTCAAAGTATAATGAGGTTAAATCTTACAAAACCATATTGTATCACGAGTTTGCAATATCTCATTCATGTTTATTTAGTGTTGGAGTGTTAAAATCTTCAGTAATATATTAGGTATTAAAGTGACTTTTTCATTGTTTTTTGTCCTTATTTCTTTTGGGGGGGGGGGGCTTTTAAAAACTTTTCAATGCTTGAAAGAGTTCGAGATCTATAAAATCAAATTTGATAATCAACCCTTCTTTCCAGACATGGTCGTAACTGGTTCTTCATGATTGCTTTCTCTCCTAAAAACAGTTTTGAAACATCTCAAGTTCTGATCATACACACCTTTTTTTCTTTTAATCTTGATACTTAAGGTTTAACTTAACAACACTGAGTTTTCCTAATTTGCTTTCTAGAAAACGTTTCAGTATAAATGTAATTTTTCTGTGTATGTGAAGCTGTGTGTGTTGTATTAAATATTGCCAAGTGAAACAGAATAGTTCATTTGTTTTTCAATGACTTAAAGGATATTTGATTGTGTGTGAAATTTCTCTAGTTTTTTTTTTAAATGCTGAACTGTTTATAAATACAGTTTAACTGCTAACCTCTAAGTTACGTGTAATAATGAAAATGTATGAGGGAAATCTACAGAGTACGTGTTGATGTTGTTAATCCTGTAACGTATTAATACAACTTTAAACAAAATTACTCTACTCTTGTTATTCTACAATCTTAGTAGCCATTTCAAGTTTTTCTGTTGCATGCCTTTTACGTTCAGTAGTAAATACTAAAAACAGTGTGGAACTACTGTGTACTCTAGGATGTCCGAAGTGGTCAAGAAGGTCTCGAAGAAGAAAATCGAATCATATGTGCGATCCTTAGTGTTTGAACTTTGTTGTAATGATGCTGATGGAGAAGACGTAGAGGTTCCTTATGTAAGATATACACTTCCAAAGTAATGGCAGCATGGCTTAGGGTAAGATTGAATGAATATTCAAGTCTCATTTTACAAACTATTATTTTATATTACTGAGTACAGATTGTAAAAATAACATTAAATTTTTTAAATTTTAAATAATAATAGCTATATTTAGTTGGATAAATGTGGAATACACATTGACTAACAACATTAAATACGGTGTTGTATTAAGTAATAATAGCCACATTTA